TAAAAGTGTGGTCTATTAAGTTTTATTTATCTCGCCTGAAATTTTTAAAAATCTGATTTACTTTATTAATTTATTTAAAATTGTATTTTATATCAACAGAGTTAAATATTATAACAAAAATAATTTTAAATATGTAAATAAGAATTTTTAAATTGGTCTGTAATTTTTTTTAACTTTCATGGTTAAAATAGGTGATTTACTTTATTAAACATTAGTTTTAAAAGAATTAAAAGATTAAAAAAAAACTAACATAAGATACAATATATTCATTATATAAAATAAATAATTAACTTATAAAACTTTATTATAAAGTCTAATCATAACATTTTTAAATAATAGATTTTTTTAAAAGACTAAATCTAATCTTTTATTAAATATAATTGGTCAAATCAAGCTTTAAACAAGTTAGACTATAGATTCATATTTAAGGATTAATCTATTCTCATCTTTATCTGTTAGATGCAAAAATTTTCATTTCTTTCTAAATTTATCGGTTAATATCTTTTTTTCCTAATCTTAGTCAATATCATGTAATAGTGAGACACATGTGAGCATGTTGGACAAAGTGCAATGTAGTGGTGTTTGACAAAGTGTGAGATGTGCATGTCATGTGAAAGAGAGTGTAATCACTAGTATGGAACAAAGTATAATAAGAAGTGTGGACCAATTGCATGTTTGATCTAATAAGATGACCACATCAGTTATGAGTCTAATTCTTAATTCAACTAGTTGGACTAACCAATATGAGTTTAATAAAATGGTTCAATACTATGTTTAAAAATTTTATTAGTCATTTGAAATTCAAGAATAATAATATTTTTAAGTAGATTATTGAGTGATACTTAAGACACTAGCATATCTTTGATTATTAAAAAAAATTAATTAACTGGTAACTTTATGTTGAGTTCCTCCTAAAATATTTTGAACAACCAAACAAAAATTTATCCATTGGGATGGGGTTTTGTTAGAGCAATATTAAGTGCTTTTAATACAATAAATTAAAAATTTGTAAAGGAAAGTCAAAGTCAAGATTAGAGAATAAAGTCTCATACATATAAGTAAACTTATGCTTTCATTGGCTCATGGTGACTCACAAACCAACTCAATTTTTTAGAAAGTTCTACTTCCATGAAAGTTGAGTTACTATCTTTGTAAAAGATTTCACAAGACCACAAATAGAGGTCAAGGAAGTATGTGACCACGATACTCTTCACATAACATCTTGAACCCAACCATATCTACCAACCAACCTTTGTTGTCTTTTCTTGTGGAGAGACCAAGTTTTTTCTTGTGAAAAGACCAAGTCCAGTCGATCCGTCTCATCCATGACATTCTCGACTACCTCTTTTTCTTGATGAAAACTTTATAAAGGTTTTCTCACTTCGGTCACATGAACCTCGAGGTTAAGGAGTTCAACCACATTCTTGTCAACTCTAATTGGTTATTATTTTCTTGTGGATGAAAGTTTGAGAAATCCAACTCCATCCATTACAATCTTGGTTACTTCCACTTTATGCTGAACAACTTGAACAATTTGTTTAGCGTATGTCATGCTTAGTCCTAATAGGTTAAATTACTCAATCACAAAGATATCATATGCATTTGATCTTTGGACTCGTCATAATAATTTTTACATTCTTAATGTAAAATTAACTAAGAAGTTATAAACATCACCCTTTAAAAAGATAATAATAATTAAAAAAAGATAAAATTATAAATTAAGTGTTATAGCTCTTATGCACCAAGTTATATGTTATTTGAGTTTATTAAACTCCTAACATTAATCTTAATATCTAAATGTATCGATTATTGTGTTTGTATGAATAAATGTAAATATGAAACTATTCTATGTAAACACTAATAAACATTTTGTTTTATGTTTGTTATTATTTTTGTAGATAATAGATTTGAATAGTAATAAATTATGTTGACAATAATATGTAAATATTTTATATTTAATGTGATGAGGAAAAATTTAAGTATTATTTAAATAATATAAAATGATGAAAAAATTAATATTGTTTTGAATTATAATTATATTAACACATCATGCGCACAATTACTCTTAACAATTTGATGATTTAAATTTTTAATATAAATTTATAAAATAAACTATCGTTTGATATGTGAATATCAATATTGTATTAGACACACACATGATGATTTGTATTTAGAGCATTCTTCGTCCAAAGGTTCTTCAGTTGAACTCATTTCAAACTTGGTTCACCCTTCAATGAGTTCTACCCACAATGCGCTGAGAAGTATCCTCCAGAACCCAAACACGGTGGTTCCCACGTGGCACACGAAACAGCTCCACGCCCAAATCGTGAAGACGAAACCAACAACACTCGCATGGATTTTCCTCATCAAATGCTACGCCTCTCACGGCCTCCTCCGCCACTCCCTCGCCACCCTCAACCACATGCGCGCCTCCGGCATCTCCCCCGACCGCCACCTCTTCCCTTCCCTCCTCAAAGCCTCCACGCTCTCAAAACACTTCCCTCTCGCCCACTCCCTCCACGCCTCCGCCATTCGCCTCGGCTTCCACCTCGATCTCTACACCGCCAACGCCTTGATCAACATGTACTCCAAATTCCCCCCAAACCCTAATAATCGCAATAATAGTAATAATAATAATAAATCCACCGCCAAAATAGATAGTGTACGGAAGGTGTTCGACACAATGCCAGTGAGGGATGTTGTTTCGTGGAACACCGTTATTGCCGGTAATGCGCAGAACGGAATGTACCAAGAGTCATTGGACATGGTTAGGGAAATGGGGAAGGAAAACCTGAGGCCTGATTCCTTCACTTTGTCTAGCGTTCTTCCCATTTTCGCGGAGCATGTTGATGTCGTCAGAGGAAAGGAAATTCATGGCTATGCCATCAGGCACGGGTTTGATAACGATGTTTTCATTGGAAGTAGTCTGATTGACATGTACGCCAAGTGTACTCAAGTGGAGCTTTCGGTTCGCGCTTTTTACCTCTTGCCTGTGCGGGACGCCATTTCGTGGAACTCCATCATTGCTGGTTGTGTGCAGAATGGGAGATTCGATCAAGGGCTAGGCTTCTTTCGTCGAATGTTGGAGGAACATGTGAAGCCAATGCAGGTCTCTTTTTCGAGTGTTATACCGGCTTGTGCTCACTTGACGGCCTTGAACTTAGGGAAGCAACTTCATGGATATATAGTTAGGTTTGGTTTTGATGATAACAAGTTTATAGCTAGCGCTCTTGTGGATATGTATGCAAAATGTGGTAACATTAAGATGGCTAGGTGTATTTTTGATAGAATAGAGATGCGTGAGCGTGACATGGTTTCTTGGACTGCCATCATTATGGGATGTGCGATGCATGGACATGCTCTTGATGCGGTTTCCTTGTTTGAGGAGATGTTAGTAGATAGAGTGAAGCCGTGTTATGTGACGTTTATGGCTGTTTTAACTGCCTGTAGTCATGCTGGGTTGGTGGATGAAGGATGGAAGTATTTTAACAGTATGCAATGGGATTTTGGTATTGCTCCTGGCCTGGAGCACCATGCTGCTGTTGCGGACCTGCTTGGTAGAGCTGGAAGATTAGAGGAAGCCTATGACTTTATTTCTAACATGGGAGTGCAACCAACAGGAAGTGTGTGGTCAACCTTGTTGGCTGCTTGTAGGGCTCATAAGAATGTTGAATTGGCTGAAAAGGTTGTGGATAAGATACTTTTGGTTGACCCTGGAAACATGGGTGCTTATGTTATAATGTCGAACATCTATTCAGCCGCCCAAAGATGGAGAGATGCTGCAAAATTCAGAGTCCACATGAGGAAAAAGGGCTTGAAGAAAATTCCTGCATGCAGCTGGATTGAGGTTGGAAACAAAGTGTATACTTTTCTGGCTGGAGATGAATCACATCCACGTTATGACAAAATAAACGAGGCGCTGAATATCTTATTGGAGCAGATGGAGAAAGAAGGTTATGTCCCTGACACAAATGAGGTGCTCCATGATGTTGATGAGGACCACAAACGTGACTTATTACGCACCCACAGTGAGAGACTTGCCATAGCATTTGGCATCATTAGCACTACTGCTGGTACAACCATTCGTGTAATAAAGAACATTCGGGTGTGTGTGGACTGCCACACTGCAATTAAATTTATGGCAAAGATTGTTGGCAGGGAAATCATTGTGAGGGACAATAGCCGGTTTCACCATTTTAAGAATGGGTCTTGTTCATGTGGAGATTACTGGTGAAATAACAATTGGAAACCAAGCACGTCAACATTGTAGCGGCATAAGCAGGACTAAACTGAGAGGTGGATTAAAATGCCACTAAATCAATGTAAAAAGCACACACAGTGCGTAATCAAGTCAAAATGGGTTAGGAAGTTGTCTGCCGTTCCATGGGAAAGTCATGCCGTTGAAATTCCTTTTGGAGACGAAGTCCATGTGCTCTCAGCTCAGTAAAGAGGGGGCTCGGGAGTTGGATCCTGATTACACTGTCCAATTTCATGTAAGCATTTTGAATTGAGTTCTAATTGTGAATGTTCAATTACTTTTGCAAATTTCTGTTGGATTCAGTACAAGGTCCTGCTCATGTTGTGTATTTCATTACCTATTTGACTTTCTACATGATAATTCAACACAAGTTTAATGAACAGTTGTAAAAGATGCACATTTGAGTTCTGATTGCCATCGATGAGTCTTGACAATATCTGTTGTTTTTCTCTGTTCCCATATATTATCATTGTAGATTACAGGGAACAAAATTTGTACAGAACTTCAAGAACACAAATTCTTTTGAGCTAGGGCGTTTTTGAGTTACAATTTAGTAAGGAGTTCTTAGAAATTACGTCTTCTGTTTCTTCTCTCCAATTTTCATTAAAGGAAACATACAAGAACACTATTAAGAACAGAGCAAAATCCTGCTGTATTGTTTTCAAGCAAAAAGAAATTGAAAAATGTAGAACTTTTTATCCTTTTACCATTTTCTTTAGTTCCTGAGTGCGTATTTTTTTTAAAAAAAAAATGTTACATCTTTTGATGATTCCAGAGAATTTCTTTCATCTTAGTCCTTAACGTTATATCCAATTTTCAGGTATTTGGTGGATCAGCAATCCCTCATTTCGACCCAAAGGATGCAGATTTAAGGGCCAGAAGGTAAATCCTGATGTTTAGATTGCACGAATACCTTCTCATAGTTCTTGGATCTGCAATCTTATCAAACAAATTCACTCGTCATTTTTAGGAATAAATGGGTAAACTTAATGCACAGGGCTCTAACCATTTGATGCCCTGTGGAGGATCAAATATTCACAACTTTATTCCAGTGAGCAGAGAGGTTGCTTCTGCAAGATAAAATCGAGTTAAGAGGGGAAAGTTCAGGGCATATAATCAGACTGGTTATCAAAATAATAATATTTTCCTTTCAAATATTAAACACGGTTATATAATACTTGAATTCAAAATATAAGTGATTAATCTGAAATGATCCCTAGGGATTAATAACTGACAAAGACCAAAAGGACTTGAAACAGATAACAATACGAATGTTCTTTTGAACTTATTGTTAAAAAACATCTAAGGTGGGGTCGGATTCTCAGGAAAGGAGGCACCGAACCGGAACCATTATCATTGGATTTCACCATCGCAGGTTAAACAAACAAGAGAAGAGTGGAAACTGAAGGGATGATTATAAGTTGTAATTCAGAAAAGAAATTTCTGTGTGCCTCCTTATGTACAGTCACAACACTTTCCGACCTAGTTAACTCAATCACCTAGCACAACCTTAGATAAGAAATGCAACACGAGGTTTATTCCTTTAAATATAATGCCATCATAAATGAATAATGGGAAATTGTTACAAATTGCTTTATAAATATTAATGCTAAAGGCAAAGCCAAAGACCTAAGACCAAGAGGTGCAGAGGCAGAAAAGAAAATTTTGATTCATTTCAATGTCGGGGAGTTCTTCATCCACTATTGTGTCTCCTCCTCAGATTAGGCGTGATGTGTTTCTCAGCTTCAGAGAGGAAGACACCCATGACAGCTTCATTAGCCATCTTTATGCTGAACTACAGAGGAAAAAGATTGACACATACATTGATTACAAACTAGGCAGGGGAGAAGAGATTTCACCTGCACTGCACAAAGCAATAGAAGATTCAATGATTTATGTCCTCGTTTTCTCCCAAGACTACGCATCTCCCACATGGTGTTTGGATGAACTCATCAATGACAAGACTATCGTGTTAATATTGTGGATGTTGCATGGCTTAAGATCACTGACAATGCATATAGGTTTGTGTTCTTTTACTTTCCAGGGAGATCAGTTCCTCATCAATTCCCTTGTCATGGCAAGGGACATTCAGTAACTATAAATACAGATTCTCTAAATTTGTGCAATGATGATAGGATCATTGGTTTCGCTTTGTGTTTCTCCTTCGGAGTTTTAGATATGGATGGTACTGAAGATAGACATGATGATTTTAGTTACAAACTAAAATTTGAATCTGCTGATGGCATACACGATCTTCCTCCTGAGCCTTAGCGGCTAAGTAACTATTTCTTTTGGACGGGTCGAGGCAGAGCTGTTGATAGAGATCACACATTCCTGTGGAAACATACCTTGGAACACACAAGCATGAGCCTTATGCCCTGTCATGTTCGCAGTTTCACTTTTCAGATCAGCATCAGCCAATATTTCACAATAAAAGAATGTGGAATATGCCCTCTTTATAACGAATAAGAAGATAACGATGCTGGTTCTGGTGACCATTCCGGCTTTCTGAGATTTCAAGAAATGACATTGAAGAACCTGGTGGAAGCAAAGTTACAGAGTCTTGTATGGAAACAAAACAAGATAGAAGGAGGAAAGCCTTCAATTAGTCTGCTAGTCTCGTGTTCTTCCGGTAAGTAATCTTAAACTCGCTGTCTAAACTGGCTTATCGCCAAAACCTTTTGCAAGCTTTAAATGTTGAAATTTTATTATCACAGTCTCATTTTTAATTTAATTTAATTTAATTTTTTTCATTTTGGATTTCTGAAGTGCTCGGTTTACATGGCATTAAACGGGTTCGTTCGAGTGTGTACAAAGAGATTTCTAACTTCTAAGTTACAGTGAGATATAGATTGATGTTCAATATCAGCCTAAGTTGGCCTGCTCTGTTTTCCCACAGCTGTAATTTCTTGAAACTCTTCCCACTTTGGCTTCATAACTTGGGTTGATGATAACGCAAGTTATTTCTTTTTAATCTTTGGTTTGTGGTCTGTTTCCTGGGCTGATTGACTTTGCTTTAACGTTTTTGTTTACCTTTTTTAATTACCACTAATAAGTGATTCCTTTGGGCAATCATTTTTGTTAAAGGCTTTTCAAATTCAGCTGGATTTGGTGGATACAACTCTGCATGACATTTCTACATTCAGTCCTGATTGTCTTGCTTATCAGCGCTTCTTGTTGAATGCGAGTCTAAACTCAAATGTGTTCTTTCTTCACAATGGGACAAATTATTTTATTTGAGTCATGATTTACAAATGTTGTGGCATGTGATTGTGAATTCTGTGTTAATTGTAGTTGGATAATCAAGTTGAAGACTCTTTATTTCAATGTATAATTATTTGAATGTAGCTCGGAGGTTTAATTGGTTTTGAATTATGCAATTGTCAAAGGAGCCACTATTAAGTGATGGCGTACGCTCTCGTGCATGGCTTTTTAAATTCATGTTGATGATGGGTTGTATGAATCTAAAGAACCACTCACGGTCATGGAGAAAGGCTAAATCCATGCATAAAAACCTCAACTTGTTATTAATAACTTGACTACATCAAAGCTGATTCATGAGGTTGCAGTTAGAACTTAGAACTCTAAAAAAAAAAAACAATTCAGAGAACATGTCAAAGGTCTAAAGTGAATTAGGAGATCAACTTCAGAACTTTGGCTAATCAAGTTCCTGATTCTCATTCCGTGACTTTTGCAAGGAAATATGTGGCATGAAGGTTTGGTGTAAACTAGTGTTTAAAAACCCGGATCGAACCGGCCGGTTGGACCGGGAACCGGTAGTCTAGCCGGTTCGAATCTTAAGTTGGATCGGTTATACAGTCAACCCGTTTCAAACCGGATTGAACCGGTCAATTTTTCGGTTTTACTGGTGAATCGGTGGGTCAAACCAGTTCAACCACTTTTTTTTCTTATTTTTTTAAAAAAAAAATTAAGGGACCATAAACCACAAAAATAATAATGAAAATTGAATCTCTTAATGGAAGAATAAAGATTCTTATTAAATATAACAATGACTATTTGTTCTAATGTATTTGTTTATAATATATACAACTTAAATAAATTTTATAGTATATTATTAATTTTAAATTATATATTTAATAATATAATATCTATGTAGATATTACATATATTATTTTGTGATATCAATTGCAAGCATATTATATATGTACATATTATTTATATTTTTAATTTGTATTAATATACAGTTTAACATGTAATTTTTT